CAGAAACCCCCCATAGCCGGGCCCCCCAGATACCCCTCCCCTGCCCTCTGATCCCCAGTCCTGCCCCCAAACTCCCCAGTGCCGGGCCCCCCAGAAGCCCCCTCCCCAGAGCCAGCCCCGCCCCCTCACCGAGCCGGGCCGCTACCTCCCAGCTGCGCGGAGCAGCTCGCAGGTCCCTTAAGGTTGCCGTGCCGGGCGCCGCGCTGCCCTCCCGCCGCGCAGGGAGCCGCTCTTCCGTGTGCGGGAGGAGACCCCGCCCCTGCCCGGCGCTGATTGGTGGTGAGGCGGGTCGGGACACGCCCCTCCCGGCAGCTGCGGCGGGAGGGGAGGCGCCGGGCGGAAAAGCCGAGCCCGAAGCAGGAGCGAGCCGACCGACTTCCCAGAAATCACGTCACCGGGAAGGAGGGGCCTGGGAAAGGGGGCGGGGCCGAAATGGGAAAAAGAGAGGGCAGGAGGGGGCGGGGCCTAGAGAAGAAGGGGAGGGGGGAGCAGACATGGGGGGGAGGAGCAGGAGAGGGAGGGAGAGAGAAGGGTGGAGGTGGGGGAGTGGGAGAGAGGGGAGCAGGGAGGGGAAGGAGGGGAGAGGTGGGAGCAGGAGGGAGAGAGAAGGGGGGAGGTGGGGGAGCAGGGAGGTGGGAGCGGGAGAGGAGAAGGGGGGGGGAGGGGGAGGGGGTGGGGGGGGAGGGGGGGGGGGGGGGAAGGGGGGAGCAGGGACACCTACAGCCCATGCACTGCACCGGGCCCAGGCACTGAACCAAGGGGACGGGACCTTCCACCGCTTGCCTGGAGCCAGAGTTCACCTGCCCACAGGCGGGGGGACCTGGCAGCCGGCTGCTTTCAAGCCCTGCCCTTGTGTACCTAGCGCTGGTCACCTGTGGATCTCAAAGCACTTGACAAACGGGCCCAAGTTAGGACCAGAACCCAGGAGTCCTGGCTCCCACAGCCCCTGCCAGGGCCGTAGCAACAAAGAACGTGGCCCACTCCGAACGGTGGCCCCCTCCGAACATATGTCCGGGCGGGGCCCCTT